TCACAGTAAAGGTATGATGTATTAAATATCGTGAGAAATGTCTTCGTCATCCAACTCATCAAGATGAAACTCGAAATTTTCTGACATTCGTTTTCTATTACGAATAGCTATGTCTTTTGACTATTTGCCTTTTTCTTTTGATTTGTTTATGGCATGGTCACACAAACTATTTTTCCCATCATTAAGTTTAGATACGTAAATGAAATGGATATCTCTCTCTGCCCAACAAGAAAAGAGTGACTAAATCGAATGTTTACAATTAGCTGCTTTAGAAATGGCTTGGGTCACCTGGTCCTGCATGATGTTTGAAAAGATATTTTTTTTTAGAACGTCTCATCTGTTGGTAAAGAAGAAAAAAACGCGAATAGACGTTGAGGACTCTGAGTTGTGTTTACCCCTGCTATGTTACTAACTGCTGCTTCATTTCCGAGATTTCTCTGCTAAACCCCCGCATGGATACTCGTATTGTGGTATCATCGTGGGATTTGTATCTAAAATCATCGAGGGTAAAATTTATAGTTTCATAATCGTTCGGTTATAAAAGGGCAGTTGATTCTATATAAAGAGTTCAAACGTAGTATTCTATTCATGTAATGTTTCTTAACGACTAATCCCTGACTGGTCGCGGTTTTTGCGGTGTAGGTGCTAGTTTTGACTTGCATGAAGTATTAAGTATAAACAGGGCTGTTGCCAGCAGGAAATAAAGTGAAGTCAAATACCGAAATAAAAAATTAAATGTTTCCACCGTTTTTCTAGTGTTCATAAAATTGTAAGTGCCTTCATTAGGACTAAGGTCTTTTTTTTACACGATGACCCTTGGTCTAAAACCCTGTAAAAGTTAAAAACCGTTGTTCAAATATAAAATAGCTATTTTGTATTCTTAGGTCACTTTCACTTAAGAAATTGTGAGTTTTAGATGAAACATTGTTGATCTAATCCAAAGCATAGACCCATAGTTTTCTGCAATTGGCACTAGTTTTCGAACCCCCTGCAAAAAATTGCAAGATTTCCAAGATATTTTTTCCAGGAAAATGGAGTATTTAAAAACAGGTACATTTTAAATACTGAATTTTCTTTAATGAGTTTAATGCTAAATGAATAATTTTGATTGTGTTTTCATGAAACAAGCCAGTAGCCTTGAATTTCTTTTGATACTAAATTTCTATAGAACAAAAAATTGGCGTGTTTTTGATAAATAAAAAGTGATGAAGTGTTTAAAAATAAACGAAGTAAGAACTTCGATTGAAGTGAAGACGACAGCGTACAAATATTTAGAGGGTCCCCCACAAACCAATTACAACCTAATAAAATTAGAGATGACTTGTGGCGTGTCGGTCAGGCTGTTCAGCTTGAAGCAGATGAAGTTTTGTGTTTTAAATGCAAACCGGTTTGAGAAATTTTGATAGACAAAAATTTCTTTTTAATTTCTTGTACGTCATTTTATATGAATTTTTCGTTTTTCTTGACAGCTGGAAACAGGCGTGTCGCATAGAGGGCAAAGCTCAGACCATGATACAAAAAAGAAGGTAGTTTCAATAAACAACTTTTGACGGATAATAAAATTTTTTGAAATTTCATAATTTGTGAGTATTATCAACGGCCTTGCCACTTTGATAATATTAAAACAATAAATCGGAGTATTTTCTTTCCCATATTTATACCAATGTAATAACATTTCAAATCAAAAACTATTATCAGTACTTGGTACTGTTAAAGGAGACTTCATCGTAATGGTTCTTTTCATTTTGTAATAAAAACCACGCGCGCATTTTTCTGTTTTTTTTTTTAATGCCATCTTGCGATTTAAAAATCAAATTCTAAAGAATGTTCTTCCCAAATGAAACCTTTTTATATTTAGGTTCAAATTTGCTTTTAAATTTCTCGTCAGATTTTGCAAAAAATTAGGCTTTTAGCATCATTAAATTTCACAAATTAATTTATGCAAAACACCTGAAGAAGGCTTGAACAGACCGCCCTCCGATAAACAGCTAACAGATCGTCGTTTAAATTACAAAACCGTGTATCAACAAAATGCACAACCGCGTATGTGAGGTTGCATAAATTATTTAGAAGAGAGTAAAACACTCACATTTCAAAATGGATCTCTTTTTTACAAAGAAATCGCATTTCAGGACGAATGGATAAGGGTTGAGCCAAGAGCTTGTGTGAGCAAATCCAATTTTTGGAGAAAAATGTCAGTTACGCGGTTTTGCAGTTACACATTCTCATGCGTTCTGAAACCTAGTCGTCAACCCCATTTGCGAAATCATTTAGCCGGCATAATTTTCTAGTTCATCATATTCCACATCTTTGAATGTACTGATAAAATCTCTGCTTAAAAAAATATATTTCTTCCAGTAATCAGGTAGCATGAATTTGATGAAATGCCATAATTTTATTAAAAGTCAAATGGTTAGCAACAACAACGAATGTCATTAAATGAAACTACCTTCTTTTTTGTATCATGGCTCAGACTCCTCTATGGAGACTCAAGAAATTTAAATAGATTTTTTTTAATCTAATGCCCAAAACCGTTACTACTCTAGTCGATCTGTCCCGATCGGAGTCGTTTAAGGCGTGTAACACTGGGAATAAAGTTCAGATTACCCCATGAAAACTCAAAAAATTAAAAAAAAAAAATTTAAATATCTACTTTCGTAATACTTTTTCGCCAAAGTATTTTAATTAAACAATTTACCAGGAATAATTTTTATAATACATAAAAAATTTGATCTTAATTTCGCATTCATTTATTTTACACCATAATTAAACACTTAATTACAAATGGTTCCGATAAAGTTTGCTCTGGAGTGTTAGTGGACTTTTCTCTATAGTATTTGACAACTTGCAATATGTGTTGTTTGTCCTCTCACTTTTGGATAAAATTTTATTATGCTATACTGCAAGTTTGACTCCTCTCGCTGCCGTGTTATTTGACACTTTTAAATGCTTTATCCTATTAACAGTTGTCATATAACTTGCCCGCAATTGGGGTCTGTATAAATAAATTCTTGATTATTGGAAACCCGATTAAAAACGCTAAACCTGTTTTTATTTATAAACTGATCTAGATCATTGATCAGTACTTTTCTTCACTGCCAGGTACAAAATTATATTTTTTTTCTTCAAAGTAATCGTCTTTTCCTAACGCTGCAACCATTTTTGTTTAATTTGAAATTTTTTCATCAAATAACGCCAAACAAAAAAATTTTCTACACGGTACTATATCCTACAGTTTACCAATTCGAAATTTAACTGAATTCTTTACATATTATTGTGTTTTATTTTTATTATACACATTTTATTTAAATTTTTTAATTCTTCATAAGGTAATCGAAATTTGCACCCTATGCGACACGCCTTAACTGTCTCCGATCGGGACCAAAATGTATATGTGATAGCTTTGATTATAGTAGCATCGACGTAGGGTTTGAGGTTTAGGAAATCTGTTGTAAAAATATGCTTCATACATTTAAGGACCACCCTAGTATAAACATTCGACGTTCTCTACGTTGCTAGTAAAAGATGTTGAACATAAAGATATTGTTGCAAAGCAAGCTCGTGGAATTGAAAATAATAATTTGTATTATCAACATCAAATATATAAGTTAATTCTCTATTATGGAAGGGCCCCACATTTTCACCAGCCCAAGGTCCCCCCCACATCCTTAATCTGGCCCTGTGTATGTATAAGATGAGCAATACCTTACCAGCAACTTACACTTCACTCGGCGGTCCTTACCACTTCACTGACAAATCTCCTTTACTTCAACAAAGATGTGGCCGCCTTGTGTAAGTAGGAATTCAGAATGTACATTTGGTATCAGACATACCTCTGAGCCGCTTTACAAAGTAAGTTACGTAGAATGTAGAGCAGCCGCTCGGAGTAGTTCGGCGCTTGGAAATAACTTCGGCGGCACGTTATTTTGCAACTGACAACGTAATGTGTCGTCGGAGGTGTTTATTTTGTGCTTTACTAGTAGATTACATTGGCTATGATGACAATTTTGGTACTATAAACTGAAAGAAAACATGGCTTACCTCGTAAGGTGCTTACCTATTTTCCCAGTGGGAAATTTGTTTACTTCTTATCTGCTAGGACTCAAATTTTTTTCGATAAGTAAAACAAAGTGAAATAAAGCCTCAAAAATAAATAAATCAATTGGAATGTTTTCGAAAATCTTTTCAATATTCATGCCAGCGCTAAGGCATTAAAGCAGCGATTTCATTCTATGATCCAATTAAGCGTGTTGATATTGGCCTTTAAGGTCTTTTGGGCAGACACAATTTCCTATAGTAAAACGATTGCCATTCTCTCTGTTGCTGTCAGTGCCAACATAGCCATACAAATGTATATATATGTAAATACATGTGTGTGACGTAGCATATGTGTGTATGTATATTAGACCGTACCAGAAAGAAAGTACGTCGCACACCTTCAAATGTAAACTATTTTTGTAAGGAGATTTCGATTTTTTTTTGCCGAACTAGATGTCACAAATGCAAAATACAAACTCATTGACATCAAATACATTCCCCATTCTAGTACTTAACCATCAGATTTCAGTTTTTATCTCCCTAACGTACCACTCTAATGTCAGTAAATTAAATCTCGCAAAAAATCATTAAACTTCTGCTAAAGTAGTATTTTGATTATTCCAGTTGAACTATTAAAAAAACTTTTTATTGCCGAATGTATGTATTTGCATAGGTTTCACCGAAAAATTCAAGAATATTTTTTTTTCGAAACAAAATAAAGGTCGGACCTTTATTTTGTTTCCTTGTAAGGTGGCGCGGTCTAATGTCGATTCATGCATAGTACATAGTTTCGCTGCGTAGGCGCAATCAGTCACTATTTAAAATTTCATAGAGATTTTCGCTTTGACTTTGTTATGATTCTCTTTATTAATTTTGTTTTTGTTTCACTTTTTATTGCATTTTCTTGGTCAGTGGTAATGACGATGCTGTTGACGATCGCAACGGAAAAAGGTGGTCTATGTTTAATGCTGATCAGCTCGACAGCATGAAGGCGAATATAAAAAAGCTGTAGGCTGCAACAACACAAAAAGCAATTCTTGCGCCGAAAGAAGAAAGGGGAAAAATACAAAACAAAAAAAAAACAGATCTATTAGCAATTAAAAGTTGGTGTTTTTGTTTTCTTGTTTTGCTTTCGTAAAAATTTTCCCACACGCCATGAAGATCGAAAATTTTGTCATCGTTGAGCTCATCGCTTTGCAAAGGTAACGATGGCACAAACCAGAGCAGATCATCAGGGCCACTTTGGCGCTTTGTTGCTGCTTATTGACGATTTAGTTTTGAAAATTTGTACGTGAACGTGCTTCGAAAGGGGCGGCGGATGCGCCGGTTTACAAAACAGAATTTAGTGAATTTATTTGTGATTTTTTCTTTGGGTGTAAAGAAATTCGCTATTGTGTAATTTTTTTTTTCATACGTAACTGAGTGCATATAGAAGGTGTTAGTGGATCAGTATTATTTTGATAGGAATTGAATTTTAAAGTGATTATTTTAATGTAAAAATATAGAAAAATATATTAAGAAATTATTGTACATGTGGCTGGTGCATTTGGAAAACCGAGTTTAAAAAATGTTTCGTTGCACCAAAAAGCGCCTGAAATTCACCTTATTCGCTTTTAATGCGATTTGTGCTGTGAGTATAATTACAATAGTGAAAGTTTAAGCAAATATTGGAAAACTTGCGTAAGAGTATTTGAGAAATTTGAAAATAAAATAAAAACTAACATCAAAGTGTGAAAAATATCTAAAAGTGAATTTATAAACTAAATAAATTCAAAAACAAAATAAAATGACTAATTAAACCAAACTAATTTAATAAAAATATAAGAAAGTAAAAAATAATAATAATTAAACTAAACTAAATCCATTAAAATTTAAGGAGGGAAAATAATCAAAAGAAAATAATATCAAGTTAAGCGGAATTCTGGTTGTCAAATTTTTATATAAAAATATAAGAAATGAAAAAAATATTAAAAAAAATAAAAAGTGAATAACATAAACAGAAAATAAGAAAAAAATAAATAAGTTATACTAAAAAGTTAAATAAATTAAAAAAAAAAATACAATTTTTTTAAATTAAATCATTTAGTTAAAACCAAAAAAAAAATATCATAAGACAAAACAATATACAATTAATTAAAAAATCAGTTTAAATAACAAAAAAAAAACGCTATTAAATTTAATTAAAATGAGACAAAATTAATGAAATCATAAATTTTTATTAAATAAAACGTAATAAAATTTAACATAATTCTGCTACGAGTACAACAATAATACACTGCTTGCCAAAAAGTTTTTTTCCTTGGCAAATTAATTGCCAAAGCATTATATTATGTCTAGTTACAAATATATGTACATACATACATACATGCAAACATAACATTTGTTCTTCAATCGCACCACTTGTATGCGAAAGATTTTCACTTTTCGCCTATTAAAATTGCCAAATTGGCTGGCGCACTGCGCGTCGTTGATGACATAAATTAGTCATATTGTATTTATGCGCGTGTGAGTGTATGTGTCTTTAAAAATAAACCGCAATATTTTACAATGAATTTTCATTTTCCTTTACTTATTGCAACCAACATCGATCGCATGCCTTTACGCTATGTGACAATTTTTGATTTCTTGTTTTTTTTTTTTTTTTTTGTTAAAAATCATATCCGCTTTTATTGCTTTCATTTGGAATTTCTCTTACATATATTTAATTTGTTGGTTTTCATTCAGAATTCCATTGCAGTCACCACTTTCTCATTAGATACCAAGCTACAAATTGTAGGCGCTGCAGTTCCCAATCCACAAAATGGTTTGCGGATGTTCAAACATTCGTAAGTTTGCGCAAACTTCATGCTAGGAGCTTTGCAAGTGAACTTAATCTGAGAATAAGCTTTCAGAATCAGTGTACAGTACTGGCTGCTATATTGAAGCAGTGATAAATTATGTTTATTTTTTTATAATACTGGTAGAAAAAATACGATTGATAATATTTGAAATGCGTAGTACGGATGGATGACCGGCTCCTCTTTAGGTTGTTGGAAAATATACTGTTGATTGAAGCAGACATGGTTTGAAATTTCAACGCACTTTTTATTTAAATTTTACAGTGTATGTGGGAAATATATGTATGTATGTGTGTGTGTGATGGGCAGGCCCCTGACACAACCAGGCCGTATATTGTCGCTTGGATTAGTAGGTCATCCACCGTAGAAGGGAGTGGCATATATGGTGCTGTGGGGGTATATGGTGCCGTAGCACGATTGCTTGCAACGTAATTTTCATTGAACTACCGTATCTTCCTCGCTGCGCTCTAATTAAGGATCTGTTACGGGTTCCCAGTCAACTAGCATGTTTGGAGCGCAAGAGTTGATAATAGCGTGGACCAGATAAAGGCGGCCCATAGCGCCGCCTAAGCGGGCAAAAATCGAAAAATTCGTTGTAGGATTCAGTTCAAGAAGGCTTTGATGGCAACGAAAGCGCTGATACTTTCGTAAAATGCGAAACCCAAACGGAGCCTCTGCTTTTCTGTGGTCCATTCAAAGGAAGGTTCTAAGAAAATGGGATTTATCTACGGTTCTTTTCCTACTATAATCAGGCCAAAGCTCGCGCAATATCTTCTTACTCTCATCACCCCTGACTTGGCTAGTTGAACTTTTTTTTTTAACAAACAACAACAAGTTAAGTGCGTACGTTAGGGCGGAGTAATTTAATTTCAAAAAAAGTGTATGGCACATTCCAATTCTATGTTCTAATCTAAAAAATATGCTGAACAAACTTTACACCAAAACTAACGTTTGACCGTCCCAATTTTTAAAAGAAAGTGTATTAAAATTTTTTCTGAACGAAATTAATTTTTCATTTACATAATTTTGTGTTTTTTTTTCATATTTAAGAAACTTCTTCACAAAACCAATTACAATTGTTTTCTTGGTACAGTAAAAAATAAATTTCGACCAAAAAGTCACAATATACTGCTTTGAAAGTTAGGAGCGTCAATTGACATTTTTGGTAAACAGTTTTTTCGCAATTTTTGCTTAGAATTAATCGTAGAACTTGCTATACACTTTCTTCGAGAATTTTGCACCGAAAAATTACTCTGTACATATGTACATATATACATACATAGCTTTGGAACTCTCTCTTCATTTAGCATATGTAGGCAGACGGAAGGTTCTATCTTATGATGCCAAGCAGATACAAATATTTGAGTCCTACTAATTTTTAAGCTCAAAAATTAATTATTTTAAACTATTGAATTGAAAGCAATTCAAGATAATTTGAATCATAAATATTTATTTTGTACCATATTAGAATAAATTGCTATAAACTCACTCACTTCTTCTTTTTCACAGATGATGGGTGTAATTTTAATATGGTTTGGATCGTGGCTATATAGTAACAGAGAAGAAGTTGATGTGGATAACAGTGAAGCCTTGATTGCTACTGTTATTCTTGTACTCGGCACTGTTTTAGTGGTAATGGCATTCTTTGGTTGTGTTGGCACATACACGGAGTCCAAGAGCATGTTGATAAGTGTAAGTATTAAATTATTTTAAAAATTGAAGATGAATTAAGGGTACATGCTTATGTACATATATATGTAAGTATAGCGGCACTTAGAGCCGGTCTATTTGTCTGTGACACACAGACTAGCATCGAATCGCAATTACCCTAGACGAAAGATGGCGCCGGTTACCTACAAATTTCAATCATAAGGATAGTGGTTTTGTAACTAGACCAAAATTAGTCTTAAAGCATTGTATTACTAAGCAGGCGATTTACAATAGGGCAATCGCAGTTTAAGAGAATCGAAAACTCTTTGTTTTTATTTTTTTAAATAAAAGGGTCCATTGGACAGATTTATGGTTTCAATGATATGCATAAAGGAACAATTGGTCAAAATATTAAATGTAAATAGCCATTTACTTGTTTTGGGTCCAAATTAGTAACTGATTAGAAGAAGAAATATATGAAAATATCTCCAAGAATATCATTATTTTGATTCCGTTGGCAAGAGTTTTAAACATTTTTATGCTTAAATTCTGCTATCATATGATTTGATTAAAAAAAAAATATTTTTAAAAATACTTTTAGTTATAAAAAAAAACTATGTTTTTTAGATGTTTCCAAATGAATGCAGCTCACGTAAATCTTAATAATTTCAAATATATTAAATTTTATAATTCAGATGGAAAAACAGTAGCGATTCTTTTTTGCATTTTTGTCTCAATTGTGAGAGCAATATATTTGTCTTTCGAAAATATCTAAGCAAAAAGCAAAAAAAAAAAACAAACTAATTCAACTTGAGCCCTTGCGGGGATCGAACCCGCGACCTTTGGATTAGAAGTCCAATGTGCTATCCACTGCACCAAAGGGCCGCTTAATAATCGGTTAAATATTCTATATGAAAAAGGCGAAACATTACAAACAAACGAAATTTAAAATTATTTATAGATATTTCTTTTAATCTTTGTAAATGCATAATGCATCAATATTTGCTATACGAAATACTATTTAAACAAGTGTTACAGCGTGCTCCAAAAAATATGAAAGCATGAAACGTTAAAAGCGCGCTAGCTTGACAACGCAGATTATATTCAACGGGAAAAATTAAACGAAATAAAGGTCGCCGACCAGTATAACTCAATTATTTTTGTGGTTTCTCTTAAACCATAATAGTTGTGTATCAGTAGAAACATTTTTCGATTTGACACCCAATAAAATTGTTGAATACCAGTCACCTGATCGCTTAAACGGCCGAAGAAGATGTAGGCCATCGAAATTTAAAGCAGTCTCCAAATGGCGGGCAATTCGAATAAGACCAAAAAAGGGCTAGAATCAGCGACTACATACATATATCATTAGATATATTCAAAAATTATTTGTCTGTTTGTTTTACGACCAAAAATATTCAATATTCAATACACATGGTGAAAGTGGGTTGGCATATCTTCAACCATGAATGCATTTTTTATTATCTTTTTGCGTTTGTTCGAATTAATGCATAAAAAAATAAACTATGAAACTACAAAATAATTTTTGATCAAAAAAAATTAAATTTAAACTGTACATACATTTTAAGTCTATTAAAAATTGGACATAAATTTATGGACGTGAAAAAAAGTACATATTATTTGGTGATTCAAAAAAACAGGACCTAAATTTTCGATTTTTAAAAACTGAACACAAAGTTTTTGTAATGTAAAAAATTTACATAAATTCTTTTGATGATTATTTCTTCATCTCTTATTGTTCTTAGATTTTTGTAACAGGTGTGGTTAATTAAAAACAAAAATCTTTGTTTATTTGAAAATGGGACGTGCGTACATTAGACTGGGTCCAAAAAAAAAAAGTTGTAGAAGTCCAGTATTTGAAGCTTATGTTAAAAGGATTTCGACACCATATAAAGGTTGGTCCTTCTAAAAACCACCAAAAATTGTTTAGTTATTTGAAAATTAGTTATTTGAAAAGCGACATATCATTATTTCAGTCATGAGGAGCTGTATATTTCCTTTTAATAACCTTTCGAGCTCCGAAGTCTTTTCACATAGTTGGGTCACTTGACCCGAGTCGTACCCCCTAAGATATGTTTTTACTTGATCAATCTCAGGAGCTTTAGAATTCATTAAAAGTGTGGCAAAAAATTTGGTGTCCGGTATGAAAAAGAATGCCCCTTATACTCGATTCACTGAATGATTATTAATTTTAGTTATACATATCTCTGTACGTACTCATATTTTAATTTGTTTCGAAAAAATAGTCATTTAAACTAAGTAAAGAAAGCTTAACCAAATAATCCGATAATTATTTTCCTACTTAAATTGACCATTCGTCATTTCTTTTTTTTCTAGTATGCTGTGATTTTAGTTATTCTATTGGTAATACAAATATTCCTTGTAAGCATCAGCTACACTGCGGCTAGTGGAAGTCTCTCAAGTGGGCTGCAACGAGGATTCGACGAACTTTGGGATAAAGGTCACACAAACATCAATACAACGCTATCCTTCTATGAAGAGTGGGTAAGATTTGATAACAAAAAAGAATAAACCAACAGATTTTTGAAAATATTGCTTTACCAAAAATTATTCCACTATTTTTTTTCCTTTCACTATTTACTATTAGCTTCACTGTTGTGGAAAAAATAGCGCCAATGACTACTTCCAAATGGATAAAGTTCCGCCGGCGAGCTGCTGTCGCTATCAGGATTGCAGGAATGTACTAAATCTCTATGTGGAAGGTTGTGAGCAGAAATTTGGCGAATACGTGCGTGAGAAGACGAATAGTTTCAATATAGTCAGCTGGTGTTTGATACTGACGGAGGTAAATAGTAATTAAATTAAAATGAAATTAAATAAATAATTATGTATTTTAATAATTTTACTGATTGCAGTTTATTGGCTCTGTATTTGCTTGCATTTTGGTTGATAGCATCAGAAATTATCGCGATCGCATACGTTTCTATAATTGAAATGGCAACAATTGAATTTCTCTCTTCAAAAAATGCACATACACACCTCGTTCCTTCGCACAGCATAGTATTGTTAATCTAATGATCGAAAATCCGAAAAATTGTTGACTCAATACGTTAATTATAATAATTAGTAAAATATCTATTGTATTTTTAGTTTATTATTTAACTGAAGTTACATTATTGTTTTAAACTTAGCTAAAATTTTATATGAATAATTGTTGTTTAGTTGTAAGTTACTAAATTGTATGTTAACCTCGAAGAAAAATAAACCTAAATTCAATTATGTAGATTTTCCTTAATTTTATTGATAAATATATCGAGCCCAAACCTCCGAAAAGACGTAAGCGACATTTATTTTTAAATTTTTATTTTATTTTTTATACAGAAATCTTTCTAGATCATCAAGGTGCATTTCTGCATCAAAATAAAATGTAAAAAAATTTCGCTTTCGCCTTTTTGACGGTTAGAGCTCGATATGTATGTATTTGAGATTTACTGAAAGTATTCCGTGACGTATACGTAACATTTAATTATCTTCATATATATGACTAGTTGACCCGGCGCGCTTCGGTACACCCTAAAAATTTCAAGATGTAATCCTAGCTCAATGTATGGAAAAATATCTTGAAGTCAGAGATATATATGTACGTAGATATGTATGTATATTGCAAGTCTTATGAATCGGCGATATTTTTGCTGGTTCATCTGGTGCGTAAAATAAAAAATCGATTGCTTGTCAACCCGTGAATATGCAAAACATATCTAATAGTCAAGCGTAAATTATTCCCTAAGAGAAGTCAATATTCTCCTCAAAAGCTCTGATCAACACATTTTTCTAACAAAGAAACGGCAAACTCAGGTCGATGGTACTCATCTAGAGTAACAAAGCCAAAAACGGATTCGCAAAGCTAGTTCTCCTTTAAAGGATATTGATTTCCTCCAAGCTATTTATGTTTTGTATGGGGGTGTTTGAAAGTTTGGAAAGCCGCTTGAGGGTAATTTGAGCAAAAATCGAAACTATTGCGTTTGTGTCTGGTAAAATCGCCTCATTCCCAACGGAATTTTCACCGAGTGAAGAATAATGGAACAAAACCACACTTTTTTACACTGAAGAAAATATAATTTTTTTGCTTTGTGTGTAGCGAAATTGGAAAAGTAAGCTTGAAGTATATTTGACAAGCCGCTGGCGTGGTGTAGTTTGCTCTTTAGTAGTGAATTTTCAGCAAAATAATACTCAATTATTCGAAAACGCCTCCATTATTAGGACATGTACTATATGCAAGTTATACAGGTTATGAGCACCTTGGTGCTTATAGAAAAAATGTTACAATTTAGGTACTATTTCACCAACAGATCCATCAGGTCGGCTTGGGTACTATTTTGGCGGCCATTCTTTCTGATGTTTCGGTTCATAGTTCTTGATTTTGTTTATTCTGAAGGGTTCGCGTGTTCAAGAAATTGGAATAGAAAAATACACTAAAAGAGCTCAACTTTAAGCGGCTGTAGCTTTTAAGAACGAGCTAACTTTTCAAAAAGCTCCTAAGGTTTTGTTACGATATTCCAGTACTATCAATTTGTGCTGATCGCTTCCCCCGTTAGATTCCTTGATCACAAAGTTGTTTGCGAAGTGTAACCTTTTCAATTACTTGGTATTGTATCGGAGTATAAGGAAGTTGAGTGGCAACTTAAGGGAGAGAGGAGTTGCGGGAACCTGTACATACAAAGCAAGGTATACGATTTACGAATATACACCTGGAATGTGCAGACCCTCCGAAGAGGAAGGTGCCTCTATCTAATTGCTAGGTATCACAAATTTAACAACGTCAGACTAATCTGTGTGCACGCCCCAAACTAAGAGAAGAACATTGAGACCAAGGATCGTGTCTATGAACGTCTAGGAGAAGCATATGAGCGCTGCCCCGTAATATACGGAATATATGCTTGAGCGTTATTAACGTGCACTTTATCTGAGGAGCGAACATCCTCGAATCACCAGCCTGTTGCTGCTAAGATCCATATTTGCCGCTGTGCAATGAAGAACGTGCGCCAGGTAGCGCGATGAAAGTTCGATGTCGTAAAGCTGTAGCCCCAAAGACAACTGAGTAATTTCGCAATCGACTCACAATCCTGGTTAAACAATCAATTCCTCACCGCCTGGACATAAATGGACAAGGGTTTACATCTCTCAATACTTCGTATCGCAGCAGAAGAGGTTGTTGGTTATTACCAACCTCGCAGAAACAGTAAAGTAAAGTGTAAATGTAAAGTGACGAACTCACGTCCCTCCACTTGACCAAGACGAACTGGCTGCAAAAATTTGATAGGACACATGTACCAGCTTTTAGATAGAATTTGATCTGACCGAAGACCGGAATCTGAGAATACCTTGTCAAATCCGCCAATTATCGCGGAATAAGCCTTCTTGAAATTGCGTAAAAGGTCCTGTTGACGGTACTGTGTGAAAGCCTAAACCAATTGTTTGAGGCTTGTTAGTGTGGCTTCATATCTGATAAGTTCATCATTGACTATATTTTGTCAGCACATAAGGTACTGGAGAAGACACTAGATTAGTAAATCGACACTGAATATCTTTTTGTCGATTTCTAAGCCGCTTTTTATATCACGGAGAGAAAGTTGCCTGTACGACACCATGTCTAAATTTAAGATTCCCGCAAAACTAATGCGACTATATTCGGTAACATTGAGCTTCGTTCAAATTGGGAAGGACCTCTCCGCGTCGTTGGAGGCTAAAGGAGTTTTTCGACAAGACGATTCACTCTCTTGCGAACGTTGGAAAGCGTAATAAGAGGTGCTAATCTGAATTGCCACGGCGCCATATATGGCAAAAGAACAATACTGCTGGCGTATGAAGATGATATCGTTATCGCAGGCCTGAAATTTAGGGACGTAAGCACAGCATTTTCCAGCTTAGACAAATAAGTTAAAGAGGTTGGTTTAGTGGTGTGCGGGGTTAAGGAAAAGTAAAACCTGGCAACACATACAGATTAAAGCGTTTTGAGACGTACGTCACTTTTAGTAGTTAAAGCTTGAGATAGAGAAACGTATAGTGATAAAGATACAGAGACAAAGATTAATATAAGTATAAAGGTTAAGATATGTGATGTCATGTTATGTTGCTCACCTCTTTACCGCAAGGGTTCACCTTCAGATGAAGAAGATAATAAAGGCAAAGGTAAGTATAAAATTAAGGATAAAGATAAAAATAAAGGTACAGAACAGGATTTAAACAAAAACAGAGATAGATAGAAGTATAAAAGTAAAGATAAAGGACAGAGAAGAATATATGAAAGTCACCTCACTTCCTCTCAACTTCCGTAACCTCATTTCAACTTAGCCACCTAAATTTACCTAAACTAACCTCATCTGAAATAACCTCACCTCAACTCACCGTTATTGACCTTACATCAACCCACCTCCTCTCACCTCAACTCGCCTTAGTCCACTTCAACTCACCCTAACTTATCTAAACTCACCTAAATTCACCTCATCTTAACAAAATTTATCTCAACTCAACCCACCTTGCCTCAACTCACATTTGTATTGGTAGAATTTCAACCGCTGAGCGAATAATATGACGTACGTACTACTTTTATATGTACATACGTACGTATGTATGTATGTATGTATGTAAATTGTCACCTGAACACGAGAATATTTACTTCTGTAATTACATCACAATGTCGAATTAAAAAGGAAAAGTTAAAATTATCATGAAGAGTGATTCATTCATGGAGACTGCAAGCTAGAAAATTACGTCATAATAACATAAACCAGCTGTGTCTAGAAAAATAAACTAAAAGGTTTTAAAAACTGGCCATGAAAATCAACCTGTTCGTGAGTTGAATGAAAGCGAAAAACATGAAAATACAGTCCCACGCAAAAAGTCAAAAAAAAAAAGAATGGAAACGTAAACTAAAAATTTTAACGCAATAAGCCGTACATCTCAAAACGTCGAAGATGAACTGGAAATGCTAACCAAAATAGCTAAAAAAAAAAAACATAATTAAATGAAAACAGGTTGGAGAAAAATTTTAAAAGTACAATAGCGAGAGAAACAGTGACAAAATTTTATTTTATTTCTGCTCATTATTTTTAAATACACATGTTGGTATGTATTATTATATAGCACATATATAGTATACATGTGAATGTACACACTCTTGTGGTTAGCTAATGAAGTTAAGTGACACATATTGACCATTTCTGGTAATTTTTCGTTTGTTTATTTGATGTTTGTATTTTTTTTTTATAAATGTCTAGCATATTATATAACCAGCACCAGATTAATTCATATTTCAAACTTTTTACAAAGGTTTAACAATCACACTCAAAAATTTTAAACTTTTTATTACAATTTTTTTGAAAAATTTTTGGGTATGCAGTTTTATAGCCCATTAAATATTTAACCGACTTCACCAAAACTAACTTTTGACCACCTTAACCGATTTCTATAACGGAAAAGTGTTACCTCACAGGTGCACCCATACTAATTTGGTTTATATCCAATCACTGACTCATGAAGAAAGTAACGATAATCTTAAATTTGTATACGAGAATTGAAGTCGGTTTTGTTTTTTTGCTTAAAAATTACTTGTTTTAGGTTAAAGTGCAAATTTTAAAACGCTTGAAAATTCCGTTGACATTTAATATTTATTTTTTTGCTGACGTTGCTAGGCATTTTCCTTCAAATAAAAGTAATTTTCGAGCAAGGCGCATTCATATAAGGTGGTAGCAATTGCATATAAGTAAAAGTCCCGTGTATTTTGTTATTGCTTAAAGTTTGTTTAATTTGCATAAATTTTGTACGAAGTTTGAAATGTGGATTTATGTGGTGCTGGTTATGTAATGTGCTAAACTTTTATAAACAAAAATTAAAAAACATTAAATAGACAGAAGAAAAATAACCAAAACTTATCAAAATGTTACTTAACTTAATCAGCTGACCACAAGGGTATGTACATAGTATGAAGGTGTGGTTGTTTTGGTTTTATTAGTTCGTAACAAAAATCAAAACAATACTAAAAGCCGCTAATAATATAGAATAAGAACATGTAAGTAGGAGCGGTGGGTTAGCGGTGTTGCGGGATAGCGGTGACGCTGACGCTACAGCTAGCGGTTGCTGCTGGTGGAGAATAAAATCGGCTAATAGCAAAAAGTCACAAATCCACAAATCAGCTAGCAAACAACAGCTAACAGATAAGAAGAAGCGGCGTAAACGAAGCGAATGACAGCAGCGCCAACAAAATCTCAATATAATAATTGTGACCAACAAACAACAAAAGCAATCACCGAACAGATGAGCGGTAAAAAGTGACTTGCACACGTTGAGCGAGAATGCGATCAAGTCAACCTCACCGCGCGCCCTAAACGCTTCATCCCAACCAGCCAGTCATACGTAGTCCAAGTACAACAACTCATTCAGCTACAACGATCTACCCCACCAAGTGAATGTGAGGCCCACACAACTAACTAAAAACTTACATTCATCCATACATACAAACGAATGCATAAGCGTTTCAAAATAAAAATATTGTTGAAGTATAAAATATATCTACATATATTTATTGTAGAAAATGTATATGGTAAATACATATGTATGTATGTATATATTTAGATATGTGGATATGTGGGTTTTTGTATAATTTCGAATGCAATGTTTTTCAGTCAGTTTACGAACGCAAGCTAAGACCGGCGCAGCGATTGTGGCGAGTGGAGTAGGGTTCATAAGAAGTGTATGTTTTTTTTAAAGCGTTTAAAGGTTGTAAAAAATTTTGCTTAACATTTTTCTTAAGCTTTTCATATAATAAATTATAAGTAAAAATTACTCATACAAAGTCGTTACACAAACATATGTATTTCGAAACGTGTAAAAATATTTGAATTTCATTGCTTAGTGAATTGATGTGCTAACATTCTGAAAATCGCTGTACCATGTGAGTTGTCTCGCCATTTTTGTAAGCAATCAAACAAAATTTACTTAAAATATAACTACGTCTCTAGATTTAAAGCTTAAAATTTGGATCACAACGATTACATCAGCAATTGTATGGAAAGAAATCACACATTTTCAGCCAAGAAGAAAGCGTTCTGTTGAAAACAATTTGCAATTTCGATTGAAACATGGGTCTAGGCAAAGCTACCTCGAAGCATTTGTTGTTGCTGTTAAATTTCATATTTACGGTGAGTAATTGACAAAAGTAGGTATTTAATTTAAACAACTTTTAGAATGTTAATTGCATTTCCGTTCAAATTCTATATTTACACACATACATCTACATAAAGAAAAATGAATATGGGGGGGTCTCTATTAGAGCAACAGAAGCCAAATTAAAAATTTTTAGAATTTTTGTCTGGCTGTGTGTTTAAGTAAATTGGTAAGATAAAGTAACTATTGCAATATGGCTGTCAACAGAAAAGGTTTAAGAAGACTTACAGTCGAACAAATTTTTGTGGAAGGCTGCCAGCTGTTTGAAAATATTAATTTAATTTAATTAATAAGATAAATTAAATATTGCAATATTTTTCTGGAGGATTTTGCCACTTGTTGGAAAATTTCATTTTGATTTAATTGATAAGAGAAATTAAATATTGCAATATGGGTATCAAACTAAAGAGAATTAAGAAAGTTTACTGTCGAAAATATTTTTGTAGCGGGTTGCCACCTATTTGAAAGATTTCATTCAGCTAAAGTACTGAATTAAGAAAGTGCACGATATGTAGAATCGAGTTATAAAAATATAGGTTAAATTTCTAAGATTAAATACCTTCGAAAATATATTAACTAACACCCTTACTCATAAAAAATAAAGTATATTTCATAAATCGAAGATTTGTTTGTTTGTGCACGGACTTTACCACTTTAATAGTAGATCTACCAACTTTTTAGCTATATTATATTTTCTACCATTTTTTATAAACAAAGGCTAAAATTCTATCAATACTTTGCCGAAAGAAAGAAAACAACAACAGATTTAACACAGAAGAGAAGAAACACACAGAGAAGGAACAGATTTAAATGAACATACATATTTTGTCATCGAACACACCTTAAATAAAATTTTAAAATTTAACTTTGACGGAGAATAATTGTTTGAGTCTCCCTGCTATTAAATTAATACAGGTCCCGAATTAGGGCATCCGAGATCGAATTTTATACGAAATTTCTTTCTGAACCTTTCGGCAGGAGTACAAAAACAAAAATTACACGAAAAAAATTTACGCACAATGCCAGTAATAAATACAACAAATATGTATATCATTGCCCATCGTTATTAATTTATTTACCTATCATATAATTTGAATTTACTTTTTAAACAGGTGGCTACTCTCTACAAACACCTAAAATATTTCTAAGATTTTCTTAGAGTCTTTCGCTTAATATCTATATTTTAATATTTCATATATTTTGTGAATGGTTTAATTAAATTTGGTTTTTAAAACAGGTGGCAACCCTTTTCAAAATATTTTCAAACTTAAACCTTCCAAATTTTTTTCCTCTGACACCCTAATTGCTTTAATTTAAATTGAATTTGATTGCGTAAACAAGTGGCAACGCTCCTTCATGTAGTTTAGAAATAAAGCCTTTTATAAAACATTTCGTTGATACCCGTATTGTAAAAATTCAGTTAGCCAATTAAGTAATTTTAATTTGATTTTTTAACATGTGGCAACTCTTTTCGAAAAAAATAAAGCCTCATTGCACATTCACAGGTCAAACCCTTTAATTTGACACCTTAGTTTTGAAAACTGAAGTAACTGTTCAGATATGATGACATTAGCAACCGACCCCAGCCATCCCCACCCTGTCGCTTTGCCTTTGCGATGGAAAGACTAGGTGGAGAAGGACTTCGTTTCATTTGGCATTTGAAATTGGCGTCAATTGGCACAGAAGAGAAACGACTGGGGTGCTATGTTGGACTGGGCCACAGCGACCACGAAGACGAAGAAATACTTGTAGATACCCTTGATTGATCTCTTTGGTTCCATCAATAATATAAACTGTCGTGGATTTGGCATATGTAGCTAGGTTAGGTTAGGCTAAGTTGGCAACCCCAGAGGGCTTAGTTAGATATTTATTAGATTGTCCGTTGTGTTACTACATTGTTAAATATGAACGGTAACTACGTTGAGTTAGGGGAAGCTGGGTACTTAAAAAAAGTTCCGCAGACAGCTGATGTCCAAACCGGAGGGTTCCTGAGGAGTGCGAGCGAATTCTGAGAAACTGAAAAGGAAGTGCTGAAATGATTCCACCTTATCCCCCTAACAGCTGCGGCAGTAGGATTTCTAACGGACCATGCTCTGTCAGTACACTTGTAGGAATCGAGAGTTTGCGCTTGGCTAGTTTAAGAAGCTTCCTTGACCCGACCAGAAGGACTTTGTATGTCGGGGTTTTTGGGCAGTACACGCTGAGCCGGCTTTTAGCCCATATCCTCATGAGTAGCCCACAAGTTGGCTCGAGAGTACACTGCCTAGCCACTTCTTCAGCTCTACAATTTCAAATGATATCACTTTGTTCCGGGACCCGAATCGCCTTGATTTGGAAATATTCGCAGGCGAATGAAAGAGAGGTAAGAATTCCCCGACCAGTTTCGAGTGCACCATTAGCGATCCCTGCGTCGTGTTTGCGGCTCGGCTATCAGAGTAGCTATTTAGACTTCTGGTCAGCAAAATACTGCCTGAAAAAGGCAGGTAGGTAAATTTTCCTACAGAACTCCACCAGACAATGGTCCTATATAACATGGCTGGCTTTCTTATGGTTTCTCTCTCTCTTCGTCGTGATTTTTTTACAACAGTAGTAGGCCATCAGTAACCCATTTTAATCGCTTCACAATATTTAGATTTCACGATAACTCAAGACATTGCGACGATAATTTTCCCTCCAAAATCACGGCCAAGAACTTGACCCTCTCAGAGGAACAAGTGAAACATACCCTATTAAAGGAGCCTCCTGGTAAATAGCGCGAGTTCCCTCTTTCCAAGATTTATAAAACATCTGCAACTAGCAGACCAATTGGTGTCCAAATTTAGTCGTATCGAGTGCCCAAGAACTTCCCTATGACGCATACGTTCCTATCCAACTCCTCCAGAACGTCATTTAACACGATTATCTAGATGAAGAGTGAAAGATGGCGATCCTGCGGAGTGCCCCTGTTTACTTATAAGCTGGACAGATAAAAATATATATCCTCAATATTAATTGTTTTTGCCTAAATTACCATTATTCATATGCATACATACACATGTACACATCTATTTATATACATTTGTTACCTGTTAGCTAAATAACATTTCAGCTCCTCGGCATAGTTCTCATAGCCTTTGGTATTTTTGTGCTGGTCAGCGCTTCCCACAACAACGTCGATCATGGTGAAAATTTAGCCGGTGGACTCATAATTGCATTGGGTGTTGTTATTGTAGTAATTTCGATATTCGGCTGCATAGCTGCGATACACGAGTCACGAACAAAATTAATTGTAGTAAGTAGAAATTTGACATACAAAACATACTTTTGGAAGACCTGTGATAAATAATACTTTCCCTTTTGTAAATATTTAGTACATCATCAGCTTAGTAGTGTTGATACTGTTACAACTGATTTTGGCCGCCATGGCTTCACAAGGCACCAAGGATGGGCTGTCGGGCAGCGTACACGATGGTTTCGAACAGCTGTGGGAGTATGAATTGAAGGCGCCAGGCACATTGGCCTACTACGAGGATTGGGTATGAGTTGGATGATTCGATGATGACATTTTTATTAGTCGCACATCAAAAGCAAATCAATCAACATAAAATTACCCGTACTTATTTACTTTGTTTTATGTTTTTTTTTTGCTTCGCAGTTGCACTGCTGTGGTGTCAACAGCACCGACGATTATCACCACATACAACACGACATACCGCGAACGTGTTGCAAGGACCGCAATTGCCAAATTGTCGATAATATTTACAAAGAGGGTTGTCAGGCGAAATTCGAAGAATACCTTTCGGGGAAGATGCTTATGTTCGGCGTGGTCAGTTGGATTTTGATAATTGGCGAGGTGGGTGATAGCAAAAGTTGTAGCTGCATAGTAGTTTTGGTAAAAAAAAAAAACAATATAAGTTAATTCATTTGTGTGCGTGTTTGTGTTCAATTGCAGATTGTTGGCGCCGTTTTGGCTTGGATGTTATACAGCAGCGTGAAGAACGAGAGCAGGCGAAATTTGCGTTGGATGTAAACTTTTAAATAGTGCATAAATACATACATATGAACATATTTACGTATCTAGTAATGTGTCAGTTAAGCACTGATTGCTAAAAATCGTATTCTAATCGCGATTACTCATATAACGAATGTACCTAATAATTTTGTTATTGTTCGAAAAAAAAGTAACAAAAAATTTTAATACAAATTTTACTAGTCAAATGGAAAATGCTAAAAAATACAAACATACATATGTGCATACATGCGTAACTACAAAATTTTCAGCTTTTATTCAAATATTAAAAACAAGTCCGAGATAAATAATACAAAAAGCGTACTCATTCCACTGGTGGAACACAATACTTGAAAAAGTGATAAGTGGATAGGAGTTAAAACCTTAGATATAACTTTTAATGACATATCTGTCATTAGCAGCTATTGCAGCTATTTTTAGAATCGACTCTATTTCGACTATGAATACACCCCATTAAATTTTCATATTATAACTTTGTTCATATAACGGTTGTTTGTAACAACCTAAAGGAATCGAATTAGATATAGACAAATGTATATATATACATATATGCTCAGTATGAAAAGAGAAAGGAATTAAGCCGTGACTGTCTGTCCGTTCGTCCGTCCGTCCGTCCATCCTCCGTCTGTGCACACGACAACTCGAGTAAAAATTTAGATATCTCAACGAAACTTGGTATGTTTAGGTACTTCTTTTTAGCGTAGGACGAATATACGAGGTATTGAAAATGGGTGAAATCGGACTGCAACCACGCCCATTTCTCATATAACGGTAGTTTTCAGAAACACTAAAACTGCGATATTTTAGTAACTACTGAAGCTTACTCACTCAAAATTGATATTTGCACTCATGATTAGACGAAAAATAAGAATAATGTAAATTTTTGGAAAACGGGCGTAGCCATGCCCATGTGTATATCTTGGAAACCGCTCCACAAATTTCTCCCAAGCTTGGCACAATTGTTGACCTTGGTACAACATAGAAAACGGCTGAAAATTTAAAAAATCGGATAATAACCATGCCCACATCCCATATAACGGTAATTTAGAGAAATACGAAATCTTCGATAAATCAGTAAATACTAAAGCTAATTTATTCAAATTTGATGTTTGCAATAATTCTTTAGCAAAAATTACGTTTATATAACAATTTTGGAAAACGGGCGTGGCACCACACACATATGTGTATCTCGGTAACCGTTCGACGAATGTGTACCAATTTTGGTATGGTTATTGTGCTTGCCACATTAGAACAAAACGTTGAAAGTAATTGAAATCTGACTAAACTACGCCCACTTTTCATATAATGGTAAATTTCAGAAATACTTGAAATTTCGATATTTCGTAATTAGAAGACGCTTACTTACACAAAATTGATACTAACAACAATCCCGTGAAAAAAAGGGACATTATTATGGAATTTTGGAAAATAGGCGTGATACCGCCCACATATAGCTGTGTACATAAGTTTATCTACTTGTTTCTAACTGAGAGTTTTATCGAAAATATTTGAAATAGGGGTAAAACCACCCCTGCTTACCACGGTACTTTTCGGAAAGGTGAAAAAACTATATTTAATACTTGCGCCGGGTATTAATGTTCGGCTCCGCCCGAACTTTGACTTTTTACTTTTTTTATTGCCATCAAAATTTCAGCTTTTCAATCTGAATCTTTAGAACATTTTTGGGTATGCAAATTTATAGCCCACACAATTTGAGTCCAATGTTTCAACCGGCTAAAAAATCGCGTTCATTTTTGAGATTTTTTTAAGGCTGCTTTGGGTTTTTTTTTTTTATATAACGAGTGCAATTTACAAAAACTGGCGTTGATTTTTCGAAATTTTGTTGCTAATAGTCGCCCGCATTTCATTTCATACGGTTCGATTATAGAACTGCATACCCAAAAATGTTCTAAAGATTCAGATAAAAAATTTTAAATATTGATGAAAATTGGTTGAATTTTCTTAAATTTTATATAGTTATAAAGTTTGAAACTGTGATTTATGTGGTTTTTGGGTAAAGCTTGGACGGTATTTTTATAGAAGAAGAACAAAAAGAATTTAGCTCGAAAAACATTACGAATATTTAGGAAAAATCTACACGTGGTCATTTTTTTGAGTCACTGTATGTTTACGTACATTTGTATCTCATTAAGAGAGCCGGCAAGTAAATACGTACGCTTAGTTTTGATTTAATTTTACTGTGTACAAAAATTTTGTAACCGATCGCACATTGTGTATTATTTAAATAGGTGTGTGTGTATGTGTGTGTGTGTGTGTGCATGTTTATACATATCTATATCGCCCAGTTTTGTGTATGAGTAGAGCAGACTTTTCAGTCATTCGATTTTCCACGAGCGTTTCTATTCCTGCCTTGTGTTAATTAGATGTTCACATTTGTTTTCGGACGTACCTAAATGCCACTCGTAGTCATCAATGTGGCACGGCTGCGATCATTTCGTTGCAAACGACGCAGAGTGAGGTGGTTTACTTAATTAATTTTGCTTGAATGAGCACATTTTGAAGGTGTGTAAACAAAAAAAGAAGAGAGCAAGTGATTTTAAAAATCCAAATTAGAACTAATATAAAATTATAAATGGTAAAAAAAAACTATAGAAAATGAATACAAATATAAAATTAAGTAAATTAAGTAAATTTTAAAAACCAAATAAATCTCAACTAAATAAAAAATAAATCATAAGCGAGCACAAAGAATTTCCTACGATTGTTTCCTTTTCCATTTTACACATAAAACGAAGGCATCACGAGTACCGAAGCATTGCGTGTGAAACGCCTACCGTGCCTTTTTGGTCGTTGTTTTGTATACAGATATTTTTTTGCATTAAATTGTTGCGCTTTGATTTCTATTTTGGCCTCTATTCAGTTCATTTGTGAACACTGATTGAACTGCATTCGTAAAACACAAAAAAAAATAGAAATTACCCACTGAAAAAAAGCGAAAATAAACGTGCAAAAGAAAACAAATCACAATTTTTTCTTTTACTGTGAAAAAATACATTATGTAGAGTGTTTAAGATCAGTGACACTTATTTGTGTTTCTTTCTTCGCATGCATTATTATTAGCAAAGGACCCAACTTTTGTGAATAATTAAATTGTTTAATTAGTGCAAACATATTTGACACAAAACATTAGCCAAACAAGAAACTTGATTATTTGCTTAATAAAACATTCTTTTTTGATAGCCAATAGCAAAGGAGCTTCGGCAAAATGGAAGTGCCCTTCTCAACGGCTACGCTGTGGAAATATGTCTTCCTGGTGTTGAATTGTTTGATCACTGTGAGTACTCGAGAAATTTAGTAAACAAAATATGTAGTTTTAAGAAAGAGATTCGAATATAGAAACTCTAAACAGAATACTTACAATCGTTTTTCACATTTTTTAATCAATTTTGAACCAACCAAATTAAAATCAAAACTGAATTAAGAGACGTACCAGGTAAATTTTTGGTGAATCGGGGTGTTTAGTTGAAAGGTAGTTTAATAATGCGATTCTGGCAACTGTCTTGAAAGCTCTCTACTGCCTTTCGAAAGATTAATTGAAAGATGTGCGAAGGGTTTCCGCCTTCTTTTAGCAATAAGTTTTTTAATTAATTTAATTTAATAATTTAATTAACAAAATATATATATGTTTCTATTCTTAAACTAATAAAAACTAATAAATAAAAGTGATTTAAATAAAAAAATAAAAAATAAATAAAAAGAAAATAAAGCAAAAATAAATAAAACTTTTAAAATATTAGATGACATTAAAATTATTTTTTCTTTTTAAAACAATAAAATCTTAAATATAAATTGGAAAAAGAAAAAAATCAAAAAATAAAATAGTATTTAAAAATTAAAATAAAATAAAAACATATTTGTAGTTTTAAAAGAAAATCTAAAAATGAAAAAATGTAAATTAAAAAAAGAAAAACAAGTTAATTTAAAATAAAGACACAATAAATGAAATAAGTTTATGAAAATATTATTGAAGAAAAAAACAGACTTTTTTCTTTTTGAAATAACAAAGTCTAAAAATTAAAAGAACAATAAATTAAGTTAAGGGAAATACAGTTAAAAAGAAAAATTTAATAAGTCTAAAAATTAACGAATTAAAGAAACGAATTTTTCTTTTTAAAAGAATAAAAAGTAAAAGAAAAGTAAATTAAGAAAAAAATTATTTTAAAAAAGAAAAAATTAAATAAGTTCCTAAAAATTAAATGAAATGAAAAAAAATCCTAATTTTAGAAGAATAAAAGCTTAAAATTAAAAGAAAATAAAAAAAAAATTTTAGTTTTAAAAGAAAATTAATTAAAAATTAAAATTTATACTTAAAAAAAAGTAAATTTAAAAAGGAAAAATAAATAAAATTTAAAATGGAAACAATAAATGAAATAATTTTCTAAAAATTTAGTTGAAGAAAAAAACCTTCTGTTTCAAACAGCAAAATCTAAAAATTAAGCGAACATTAAATTAAATTAAGGGGAAATTAAGTTAAAAAGAAAACTTTAATAATTTTCTAAAAATTAAAAGAATTAAAAAAATAGTTTTTCTTTTTAACAGAATAAAAACTAAAAGAAAATTAAATGAAGAAAAAAGATTATTTTAAAAAAGAAAAAATTAAATAAGTATCGAAAAATTTTACAAACCGATCGGAAATAACAACATCTTAAAAATTGAATTAAATTAAATATAGTAACAAAATATCAGACGAATGGTGCCGTTAAGAGCGTCATCCAGGTGTTCGTTCCTCAACACATCGTTCTTAACGTAACGTAAAAAGGAGAGGAAGAAGCTGTCCTATCTGTTCAAAGACCAAGGTAGACCTGCGGAGGTCGAAGTCAACATAGGTTCACTCACATAATGTTCAACTACTTTCTGACGGTGATTTCAATGGCCGATGCCGGAAGTACTGTAACTGATTGCAAATTCAGCAGAGGCACAGTGGGTCGTCTAGTAAAAGCTATCTGGACAAAAACAACATTTATTTTTTTAAGATTTTCAAATGAATAATAGGTTGAAAATCCTGAAATAGTCCCGAGAATCCCGAACGCTTGGCACGCAAACTTATGCAAATGTTTTAGTATTAGCGTGGCTGGTTCGGAAGATATTACAATCTTCTGTGTAGGGAGTACTGTGTGGAGGTAACTGTCCTTGACACCATTGCTCCCGCTTCTGCCTGTAATCATCATTTGATTTCCAAGAAAGAGTTCCACTCCTTGTCTCCATGAAGGCACTATAAAGCCTTTATATTTCTTCTTTTTATGGTCTTTTGCTAGCC